AATCGAAAAATCCGTAGAACACAAAAAACTGCCTCGAGACGACAGGATCCATTGCCATGCGACAACTTTATCGCGACGCGATAGCTCCTGTTTTCTCGCGCCAAGTTCTCGCGACATCGAGCCAGGAGTCTGCTTTCTTGTTTTAACTTATTCTAGTACTGTCTCGCTGATTCTACTTCCTGATTGAGTTTTTTCGACTTTTCTAAACCCATATGTGTTCTACATATGGTCTTAGCCCCTGGGAATTCACGCTCCATCTACCCAATCGAACACTCCGTGCAACGACGGGTACATCCGAGTTTGTGAATTCACCAAACCATGGAAGCAAGTCTAACTTGCGGGGGTCCCATCCATCCACACCAACCCTTCCAAAGATAAGGCTTCCGCACGATGCATCCGAACTCATAACCATGGACCCTCTTTTGACTACCATAATCCTTGAACTTTAGAGAACTAGAGTCATGGTTGTGACTATTTGACTACTTGTGCATTCCTTGCTTGTGCATACCTTACTTGCGATGAACTAACCTCTTGTGTTGACTTATGTTTGTAAATAAAGTCTAAACAAACTAATCATTGAATAAAAGGACTTTTCTTAATCAATTGGTTAATTAATAAAGTCTAAATATACTTGATTTTGTGAGACTATAGGCTTATACCTAGGAAAGAATTACCGAAAACAAATTAAACTGACGCTCCAGTTTTGGCGCGGAAGTTTGGTTTATGCCATAGAACGCCAGCTTTATCGCGACACGATAGTCATATCGCACCACGATGGAGCCAGCACGCCACGACGGTTCCATCGCCACGCGATGTTTCGGTCTTTTCTTTCCGAGTCTTTACGTCATGTCTAAATTTCATGATTAATTAATTTAATGTTTAACCAAGGTCCTAACCTAGTCCTTGTTTGAGTCTAATCACATATTTAGTCCATGGTCATTACACGAGTCTTGAGCATGTCACTTTCACTCACGAGTCAATGCACACACCTTGTATATGTCTTTCACCTTGACCATGTCTTATGTCCATGCATGAGTCGTTCTTTCCGTGATTTGAGTTGAGGGTTCCATCTTATTCCCAAAAAAAATTTCACATCCTTCCACATTCACATATACCTTCCCACATACTTTCCATACATTACACTTTCTCTCTTAAACACTTTCCACATTCCTTCATCTTACATGCTTTCTCCATACATAATCATTCACCTCATACACTATGATCTTTCCCCATCTATGGATGTTTATTGGAGTTCGAGTCATGTGATTGACGAAAAAACATACATAGTTTCCTTTTCTACAACCTTTGGTCAAGGAAAACACAAAGCACGAGGCAGGCTTCAACAACAAGCTAGATTTCATGATTTCTTTTCTTATTTTTTATTTCCCTTCCCCAATGAGTCTAGCATAGGCACTCTTCATCTTCCTTAGATTTATTTCATGAGTTTGATTTTTTATCCTTTCCATTACAATAACATGAGCATTTTATTTCCTTGCATATGATCATTGCATTGCATTTCAAAAAAAAAAAAAAAAAAAAAATCGTTCCATCATCCCCGAATATGCAGTCATGGTTCCGGACCACTATGGAATTAGCGATCTCCATGATCGTGAATGTAGTGTAACCTTCACACCTGTGAACGGTTTACAAGTTCCTAATACTTGTTGGCGACTCTTTTATCTCTAGCTTCCTTCCCTTTGGACGCCACCAGGCTTAAATACATGATCACATGAGGCTCAAGTTGATGTTTGAAATATTCCCTACAGGTATCGTTGTGGTTTTCGATTTTATTTTATTTTTTTCAAAATAATATGATATATGTCATATAATAAATCAAAAATTGGTCAAATATATTAAAATCTTGATGATTTTGAAAACTGACAAAAGACTAGTGGAAACACCTTTTTCTTATTTCATGTTTTTGGTTTTTTGTTTTTTTTTTAAAAAAAAAATCTAGAAATTGAAAACAAAAAATAATGTCAAACAAGCCCTAAATTTTGTTTTGCATGGTGTACACTATGGGTTGTGAGTAGTTTTTTAGTTAGGGGTTGGGTGAAACTCAATCTAATGGTTTATTAAGTGGAATTGGGAAGAGTTTTGGTGATTGGATTTATTATATGAAGTTTCCTTGTTGTTTACATTGATAGGAGTTGCACCCTTGATTTTGAGCATGATAACATGATAATCTTGGTTTGCCATGGGAATGTGATTTTAGACTATCATAAATAATTGTAATTTTGATTGATTCTCTCCTTTGACTGAACTAATGAGAGATCTAAGTTTAGGAGTTTAAATTTTGTTCTTAATTGCATAAAGTTGCTCTTGCATATAGTCCTTGCTATCTATCACTACGGGTGAGCAAGATCGGGTACCCGGTCAAAAACATTAGAATTGGTATTGGAGTCGGTAAGAACCGGGTCCAAGATTTTGGAATTGCCCTTGCAACCAGTCTTAACCAGGTCCAATAGTTATAGATTTGGTCCCGAAACTGATGGGAACCGATTCCAAAACTGGATACCCAGTTTCTCAACAACTTTACAATATTCAACAACTAAATTGGCTAAGATTTCTTGCTATATAGATTTCACTGTCATGAGTAGCAACAATTACAAATTCAATAAGTAAATAAAGAATCCACAAAGTGAATATTGCATATCTTGTATCTTTGTCCCCTTCCATTTCTAATTGTGCTAAAAAAAATATTAATCTCTCACATTATCAAAACAGGTGAAATAAAAAGAAAAAGGGTACCAAAAGAAAAAAGATGCAATGATGAAAAAGTAATTAAATTAATAAAAGAGAAAGTATAGTTTTTGGGTAGTGGAAGATTGAAGAAAGAGGAAGGAAGAGAAGAGAAGGCGTGAGAAATTGAAAATGAGGGAAAGCTTGAGAGGGAGTGCGTGAGAATGGAGCGGTTGAAGGAGTTTAAGAGTTTTTATGGTTTGGTAACTGGAAGTGGGTCTATCATATTACATGAGCTGTGAAATTTCTTTAATTTTTTTTTTCCAAAACAACTCAATCCTAATACATGCACCTGATTTAACTGGGTACCCAGTGGGTACCAGGTCTAAAAATTCAGGACTTGGAACTGCAGTTCGAATTGGGTCCATTTTTTAGAACCAAACTTGGATTCAATTTAACCTATTCCGAGTCCGGACCCACCAGATCTAAACGGAATCCAGTTTTGGAACCGGGTACCTAGAATTTTTTCTCACCCCTACCTATCACGCATATTACTCCCAATTTTCTTGATATCCATGGTTGAGTGCATCCCCAATATTCCGTAGTGTTTTTATATTCTTAATTTAAAATCGTAGTTAGTTTGTCTAGTTGACAAACCTTGATTAAAACCAAACTTGAAGTCTTCAAATTAGCTTATGCGTTAAAATCCTTAGCAATTATACCTCGCTTTTCTTGATAAAAACCAAACTTGAAGTGCTCAAATAAATTTCTTATTCCAAAGGAATTTCAAAGAGACCATAGAAACACATTTGTACGTAATTGATTTGGATCAATATTAAGGTGAACCCAGATCAAGAAGTTTAAATCCTAACTAAAAAAAGACAAGTTAACCCTATTATATGCCATATCATTATCACATGTAACAACTCATTACAATAAGGGGTTGTGATTATGATTAAAAGTTTTTTTGGAAGTCAATAATGCTTAGGGATGAGAATCCTCTCCATCAATGATATACTTACTTTAAAGCAAGGAGTAATCGTTGAATGGACATCATGCTTGAATGTTCCATCCAAATAAGCACCAACACTTATTTTCTTTGTTTTATTCCAATGCTCTAATATTTCATAATTTATGCTTATGCTTGCTTTATTTGTTCAAGCTTGCATGTGTTCCATGCTTAGCTATATTCTTATTCCATTGCCATAATATAAGTCTTGTATTGATTTACTTGTGCAGTATTATTAATATGAGTTATAATTTTGATCATCAAAGTTATAATTTCTACTTGAAAAGCCAACCCCGTCTGCATGCAATCTTGACATAATTATCAAAGTAGTCACAATTTCAAACCCCCTTGGTTGCTAAATCAAAACCAACTTAATGATGTTGCATATTAATTTCTTTATATTAAGTCAATTATTTCCGAACCTACCTTTTGGTTTCAAAGACCAAACGCGTAAAATTGGAGCGAAAAAGGTTTCCATGGTCCTCATAAAACTATGTGGACCTTAAAAATGAATCTAAAAAACCCTTCGATTTCCCACAAAGTGGGGATTGGCACAAACCTTGAGAGAGGGGGAAATGCATACCACTAGGCGAAAAACATTAATAGGCACCGGTTCAAACCACCTAATGGGCACCGATTTTGAACCGTTGGGTATTTGAGGGATGCCAAATCTCTGAAGATTTGGCACCGGTTCAAAACCGGTGGCTATTTAAAGATTTGGCACCGGTTAACCAGTGCCAATTACCCATGACACGCTTTTTTTTTTTTTTTTTTTATTTCAGTGCAATAGGCACCGGTTTTGACTTAGTACCGGTGCCAAAAGTCCCCAAAAAAAATTAAAAAAAAAAAACTTTTAGCACCGGTTCTTTCCCAAAACCGGTGCCAAAAATGCCCAAAAAAAATATAAATATATTTTTTTTTTTTTTTGCATTTTTTTCACTTAAATTGTACCAAGTACTTATATATAATCATAATATACATAAAACACATATTTTCTTCAATAACTTGTAATATTACACTTTAAAAAACTGAAGAAAAAAAAATACTGAATCAAGGTCTGGAGAAGCAGAGCCCTTGATTTAACAACCAGGTCAACTTTCCTTTTGTAAGCTGTTGTTTTCTATTGGCGGTGTTGCTTGCTTTGTGTCTGGTTGCTGGCTTCTGTTTGCAGGGTGTGTTTAGCTGTTGCTGGCTACTGCTTTCTGTTTCTGGCTGCTTAGGCTCTGGCTGGTGTGTGCTGGTTCAGGCTGCTGGTTCTGTTGCCTGCTTTTTCAGCTGCTGTGATGCTGTTGTTTGGTTGCTGGCCAGGTTTTGCAAAGCCTGTTGGCTATCTGCTGGCTGTTAGCTGTTGTCTGGTGGTGCTGTGCCTGCCTGGTGCTGGCTGTTGCTGCTGTTTTACCTGTTAAAGCTGCTAAACACACACACACACACACACACACACACACACATAGACACACACACACACACACATATATTGTATATGGGGAGGACAAGACATTAATAACATGGTTTTTGCTTGTAGAAAATAGAGAAAAGGGTTGGGGGGGTTTATCAAACTAAGACATAACAACAATTCCTAATGCATAAGTTTGTATGCACACAGAAATTTGAGTGAAAAGTGTACACAGAAATTGCAAGAAAATCCTTCAAACCAACAGTCTGCCTTTTTTCCTTTAGATAAAGTATACATTACATCAATGAGACTAGGTCATTAATGCAAAAAAAAAGTAGATAACAGACTGTGAGAGTTGAGAACTATTTGAAAAAAATTTGGGATCCTGAGAAGTTAAATCAACTTATTTAAATTTCAGTAGCTTTTCTGTCTCAAGGTTTTCTGCAGCTTTGCCCTCAGACAGAGAAATTTGATTCAATGGGAAATATATAAAAATTTAGCAAGGTTCCTTTATTATGAACTTGTGCAATGTTTCAGCATCATAATTGAAGGAGTATCAGTCACAAGCTAAGAACTTTGAAAGATATTTAAATTACAATGTTGCATTTAAACTATGCAAAAAGCAACTAGGACAAACATAAATCAACGAAGAGAGAAAACAGTTTTTTGTTTGGTATAAATGATGGTGGGTCGAAAACAGAACTCCCAGAATACCTTAATGCAGACTATATACATTCTTCTTGTTGATTAACAATAAAGTTATCATATTTTCATGTAGTTATGCAATCATGATACAGCATATAATTGGACAACAAAGGCTTCTAGTCAGTCATTTCGTGTAACTCATACAATGATGCAGAAATTTAAACAATGCCAGCCTAGATTAATATGTTTGAAACTATGATAACTTAACAAACACCCAAGCAACCCAAATTTAAGGCACAAAACAATATAAATACATTATCATATTTAATTTTCACTTGAATTTCTCTTTTGAAGCCTGAACTCATTAAAACCCATTGACCCTTATTTGACCTCATTGGCCCTTTTATGAATATCAAATTTTAATCAACTGGAAAGCCCTTATTTCAACACAACATAAGGTCAAAGGCAAAATAAGAAATTAAGCAATATAAAAGAGAGCTCATGCTGCTACCATGAATATGACAACTATATGTTGATTTAGGCCAAAAAATGTAACATGATCACACATGCTTATGATTTGAGGATAGGAGGGAGAGAATTAGTACGCTGTGCTGAGGATATCGGGATGGACATTGTACTCCTTAGCAAAGACATATGGTAATAATGTAAGAAATACGAGCGGGTAATAATGTACAAGCCACCATACAACGAAAGCAAGCCTTGTTCCTTAATTTCTGACTACTTTTACAAGAAGAAGGAAATAAATTCATATTTCTGGAGTTATAAATATTTATATAGCTTAAGTTAAGTGTAATTTGGCGAGGAAATTGAGCCGTAGAGGGATTCCTTAACCACTCTAAAGCACACCAGCTTTCAATCACTAGTTCAGTGTAACCTAGCTACTCCTTGCTCATTATAATAGGTTACAGAACAAAGAAGAATAAGAGATAATATATATATCTATATGATCCAAGTTTTTTGTCATTCTAAAAATAATTTGGCCTAAATATTTCCATACACAAAGTATAGGGGTTAATCACATTAATTTAAATCATATTTATCTCACAAATCAAGACCGCTAAAATTGGTGGTGGGGGGAGACGAATCTGATAGGGCTCCAAAACAGCAGAGCTAGACAAAAACTCACTCAGGCCAACCAAACAATAAAACGGAAGCAAAAGCATAATCAACCTGGTTGAATTCCACAATATCATAAACTAGTCAATTAAAGCATACAATTAGAAAAACCCTAAGTTTTAAATATGTAGCTTCAATTAAATATAATCACAAATTCATGTCCCAAGTCCGACTCGGCTGTTTTGTAAAAACAATCAGTGTCACCCATCCCCGAGTGTCAAAAACCCGACACGGATGCCAATTATGCAAGGCCTCACACAAGAGTCAGGGTATCCTCTATACTCTATAGCTTACTTTATCAACCTCTTGATTTTCACAACTGTTTCAAACATGTTAGATTTAAAATTGATAAACAATATGTCTCAGATGTCCCTATGCATCATGAATAATAAACCCATAAATCAGTTCACAAATCTTCCCAAAAGTCTCAACAAATCAAACATAAAATGTATTAATTGGAATCTAATGGCAAATAGGTGATGATTATCATATGGGTGTACTATCTCATATATTGGACTTTCATCATAGACATATGGATAGGAGAAAAATAAAAGGGAGGCCATTTAAGAGTCTCAGTTCCCCCATAACTATCACTGACAACCCACCTTCTTCCATGACTACCAATTCTGCCTAAAGACTACAATCCTAGAACATAAATGGTTCATGGGAGGTCAATGGCAAATATTATTCATCACTTCACTAGAAGTTGGGCTCTCTCAAGCAAATGTTTCATCATTGACAACAGGGACAGACATATCGATAGTCAATGGGGTAAAATAGGGACAGACATATGGACAGACATTGGGGTGAAACAAGGACAAGCATTGGTTTGTTATATTGGGGTCAGTTAAAAAGGGACATATTCAAGGAGTATATTCCAAGCAACACTAATCAAGGGACATAATCAAGGAACATATGCCAAGCAACATTAAACAATGGACATAATTAAGGGACATATTCCAAAGAACATTAATCAAGGGGCATTAAAAAGGGATATAATCCAAGAAACTCAGGCACATATCACATACACACCAACATCAATAGCAACAACAACATATCACAATCATACATCCCCTGGCCAGCAACAGATCACAGTTGCTGGCAACCATATATCAACAAGCAACACACAATCCTCCATCTCAGTCAACAATAAATCAGAACAACAACAATAATCCAGCCCGCCAGCAACATATCACAATCATAGAATAGGGAGTAAATCAACATGATCTCATCACAATATAATCCGGACAAAACATGATCTTATTGTAGTAATAAAACTCACGTAAAACTCAAAAAATCAAGCAACAAGAGAACTCAACAAATCAGAAGCAGAAATTAAATTAGGGTGAAGAAAATTATACGCTGCCCATTCACTCAAAGGGGTGATATTTTTTATTTATCGTTGTATAACCAGCGGCTTCTTACCTGAATACACAAGAAGAGAAACAAAATGAATTGAATCCAATAACAAGTTGAAAACAAATTACATTAAATTGAAACTTACTGGATTCTGTTTTTCATAAATTACATAAACCCTAGAATTTTGTTTTTCATAAATTACATAAACCCTAGAATTTTGTTTTTTATCTTCCAATTCTGTTAAATTCATACAAAATTTTGGCATGAATTGCATATAAAATAAATTAAATTAACTTAATTAAACAATTCATCAATCAGTAAAGCAACTAATTCAACAATTCAACATAATCTAAGTAATCTAACAAGCACTAAAGCAACTAATTCAACTATTGAAATTGAAAAATAATAACTAATTCACTAATTCAACAAATTAACAAACCAAAATTATTAAACAAGTAAACAGAATAACATATAAATTATTAAATTAAAAGTAGGATTGTAGGAAGCTTGGAACATTAAAAAATTAAAATGAAAACTGAAAAATCAAAAAATTGAAAGCACTTACGTGAGTTTGTTGCCGCAATGAAGTTGCCACTGCCGGAGAAGTGGGTTGAGGCCGTTAGGCGCCGCTGAGCAGTCGGAGGTGACCGTCTGAAAGAGGAATTCTAGATCTCAACCAGAGGAAGAAGATGAAAGGTTCAACAAAAACCCTAATTAATAAACTAACCAACCATAGATTTAGATCCAAAATCTTCTTAACATAACAAAATCGCAAACCCTAGACGATGAACAACAACAACAATAGCGAGGAACCACAAATCTCATTGAATTTCGAATATCAACACAACAAATCAACTTGATTCAGAAGGAAGAGAAGATCGAGATTATATTGTGAAAAGAACGAGAGATGAACGAGAGAAGAACGACAAAATCAGAAGGAAGAGAAGAGAGATCCAACGAACAGAGAATCAGAGATGAGAGAGAAGAGAAGAACGAACAGAGAAGAGAGGAGAGCATGAAAGAAAGAGGCAGATGAGAAAGAGGAAGGGTTTATTATACGTATACCCCAATTTTTTATTATTTGGCACCGGTTTGAACCGGTGCTAAAACAACATTTTCCACCGGTTTGGTTTGAACCGGTGCCAAAAGCCTTTTTTCCAATCCCGCCCATTTCTTTTGCCACCGATTTTCAAGAATTTGTGCTAAAGGTGCGGTGCCCAATTCATTTTTTCTACTAGTGTACGCACCCTAACAACAAGTTGGTTCAAATTGGGTCATTGTTTTTGAAACTAAACTTGGACCTAGCTGAACCGACCCATACCAGGTCAAAATCCGATCTGGTTCTAGAGACTGGTAACGAGAATTTTTGCTCATCCCTAACCCTTAACATTGTTTGAGTGTACTTGCCTAAGGGAACGCGCTTGACGAAACTCTAAAAACAACCCATTTCGAGCCCCTAGTTTCTCAGCCTCCTTAATCAGCTTAGCCTATTGGGCCGCCGGTGATTTGAGTGGGTTGGCTTGCTCCTTGATCGCCGGCGAACCACCCCTAGCCACCGAAGTGCCAACGGTGGTCTTCTGAGCAGCCTACACATTGTCGCGTTTTTCTCCTCCCTCTTTAGCCGCAGCCTTTCGGTTTCGAGGTTTATTTTTTCGTCTGATTTCACGGATGAGGTCTAAGGTGGTAGTTTTCAGTTTCACCGCTTTTATTTCCTGTATTTGGGCTTTAGTCTATGGCTGCTCTTGCGGTTCTTGGGTTTTCTCCTAAATAAGGGTTTCGTTCTTTAATTTATGTTCTGCATAGCCCACCTTCTTCTTGTTCATGGTAATGGATTGCCATATCTTACTTTCTCTTTAATCCTTTTGTTAATTAGTTTGTGGGTACTCTTATTCCTCTTTGTCTTTTACCACAAAAAAAGAAAAAAAAAATTCTTCTATTGTTAGAGAGTAAGGCAGAGCTGGCCAGTATCAGGCTGCATAATTTAATTTGGTCGCTTCTTTGTAGTGTTGTGCTCTCCGAGGGAAGTGTTACTATGGAATGCCAAAATTTACTTAGTGCCCTTATGCATACCCACTTGAACGATGATTATGACGAAAGCAAAGCATTATCAATTTTGCTAAAAACAATTGTCCCTGGAACATCCTTTATCAAGCAAAGGTCCTAAAGGAGGAGGGCAATACTCACTTTAAGAAAGGTGAAGTTGTTTTTGCTGGGGCTACGTATGATAGAGGCTTGAAATTTCTGTGTTTTGTTCTACATGAAGATGATTGTGTTCTTCTTTGTAACCTTGCCATATCCCTTGAATAACACCTTGCAGCTTGCGCCCTAAAAGTCCGAGATTACGAACAAACTAAGGAGCTCTGCTCGTTAGTCATTATGCTTGATGATAACAATCCTAAAGCCTTTTACAGAAGGGCCTTAGCCGAAATCAAGCTCAATCAACTTGAAGAGGCACATGAAGACCTTGGCAAAGCAGCTAAGGCTAAGCCTAAAAATTAGGACATCTTTCGTGAGATGGAGAAGGTGGAGGGGTTGAGAAGCAAAGTTAGCAAGATCAGGGGCAAAAGGGGTACTGAGGATTCCGACTTGGCCAACACCATCTTCAACAAAAAGGGAAAGATCTCTGTTAGTCTAGATTCTAACAACAGGTTGCCTTGTAGCGATGTTAAGAGTGATGTTACGGCTTTACCCACCATGGACGCTACTAACCAGATGACGATAGAAAGCCTTGTCACTACATCCAATGATTTTACCCCTTTGGAAAAGGCAGACGATGATGCTACTAGCCATGCAAACAACCAGGATTCTGGACAAGCTAAGGACAAGGGATTAAGGAAATTTCATATGTTCCTTAACAGTTTGAGATGTAATCAATCCCTTAAGATTTCTGAGTTGTCTTATTCGGATCTCTATCAAGGGAAAACCTTGAGTTTCTTCAAACATTCTGTTGTTTCATGGATGACTGTACGAGTAAAGGAAAAGACCACCTATGATGGGCGATCTAAATCTCACTAGGCAGAGGACTACAAAATCCCAGAAACCTTGTCCACACCCACTAGGATGGTGGGTCCAAAAAAGAAGAGTCGCAACAGAAAGGGTAAAAGGAACAAGGCCAAGCGATCTCTGAATGCCTCCGTGGTTAGCCACGTTGTTGGTATTCCCAAGCCCAACACTGCTGTCGTTGAGAAGTTAGATGATCAACCACACACTAGCCTAAATTCTAGAAGCAATGAGGGGTCAAACATCAAGGAAGGGAGCGAGATACCTGCGAGAGATTTAACCACCACTGACATCAATGAAGTGGAATTCGTAGGCTCTAATGACGCAGACCCCATGATTGTTGATCCCAACCGAGTGCAATCTTCTCCACCACGCTTTACCTTTACGTTCTCTACCACGTCAAGAAAACATAGAAGACCTATCAGGTCAAGGGTGAAGGACAAGAAAGGTAAAAGGTATCCCAGTTTTTGTTTTTGCATGATCAAGAAATACAAGGGAACAAATTTGGAACAGCTTATGGCTAGCTCCGAGAATGGATCTTCTCAATCCCCTTATTTACTTTATCAAGCAGTAGTTCATAGTGTCTGTAACCCCAATCCCCTATTTAGTTCATGTATTAGTTTGGTTAAGAGAGTCAATTATTCTCCTTGTAATCTTGAGTCAGTTAGGAACTAGCCTCCTTTTTGGACCGTTGTAAAAAATAAAAAATAAAAAAATAAAAAAAATAACAAATAAAAAAACCATTGTTTGAGTGTGAAAGTATTCTATACACCATTGTCGTTCACTTTCTTTACGTCATTTTTAATAAAGAATATGTGAGAATGTTTCACGTACATTTTTAAGCGTAGAAATTAAATCGTCGTTTTATTTATTCTAAAAAAAAAATTTATACCAAGTGAAGACAAGTACAGTCAATTATTTAATTTGAAAACAGGGGAAGTATATCATGGATGCATTATTCAAATGAATAACATATTTTAGGAAGAAAAATCACTCATTAAAACCAATCCGATCCAATTCTCCATTTAATTCTTAGGCTTGCAAAAATACAAGATATATTGAAGATGGTAACAATAAGAAGAATAACAGCAACAAAAGCAACAACAAAAAACAAACAAACAACAACAACAAAACAAAGATTGCGAGGATTGGCTGCAAGCTAAGAAACCCCAACGAAGTATCATTCGCTAGTATGATTATCCCCTGAAGTACTAGCCTCCATCGTCCCATCACCATGAAAATGATTTGGACTTATGTTGGGATTATCACCATAGTTAGCACCTGGGTTTGGAGAACGGGGATTGTTATTATTTCCAAAAGTCCTTAATCGATGCTGGACAGACTTCATTCGATTCTCTAGTACCAAAATCAAGTCACCCAAATCGCAAGGGGCGACTTGTTCAATTGTGGATTTTCCAGTCATTATGTCAGTGACCATATTTTCTATTTGTATCTCTCGATTCTTCCTTTGAATCCTCTCTAGCTTCTCTTCAGTCTTTCTGACATTTATTTCTTAAAATGATTGTTGATCTAAACGCCTTTCCAATTGATACATATCAGGATTATCTTGGTACTTGGCGATAATTCTTCTTACTTCGGGATCAGATGAAGGCCACACTACTGGGACTTGGGTATCTTTCGCATATATGATAACACAAGCATCTACATCACACAACACACTAAGTTCTTGAGTCTTTTTTACTAACCCATGTGTGCGTTTTGAAAGTGTAGCTTTCCTTGCAGTGTTATTTTCTATGAACGCTAGCTTCACTTTTTTTCTAGTCATTTCTACAATAGAGAAGAGCTAGGGTTTTCTCTTTGAACTAAAAGAAGGGTTTTAAGGTGGTTTTTTTTTTTTTTTTTTTTTTTTTTTTTTTTTTTTTTTTTTTTTTTATTTGAAAGAGGGGATGATTAGTTTTAGGTACATAGAGGGGTATATATAGGGCTATATCACCCTAAACCCTAAGGATACAATGAGAGTCCACTTTCGTATACCCTAAACTCCTTATTGGATTGGATTGACAGCAAAGCAACATGTAATTGAATTGAGATAGAATTGACAGCAAATCAACGTTTAATTGAATTGAGATAGTATTGACAGCAAATCATTATATGAGTAATAAAAATTATTATTGTTACCAAAATTGTGTTGATATTTTGGCAAGCTGACTAGGATATTAATTCAATATTATCCATCCATTGCATTTAGACTATTGTAATTTTTGTAAATTAACCTAATAATGTTTTTTTCAACTTAAAATTATTACCTCTAAGCTCTTTGGCGACCTTCAAAAGAAACCATCTAAATTAAAGAAAATAATTGGGAGATAGTACTGAGATGAATTTGGGGGACATATATGTAGGGGTGAAACAAATTCGGGTTAAAACCGAACCAAACCGAAAACCGAACCGAATAAGAAATATGGTTCGGTTTTTTTTCGGAAATGGTTCGGTTCGGTTTTTAAAAAAAAAATAATTCGGTTTTCGGTTTGGTTTCGGTTTGAGGAAATAAAAAACCGAAAAAAACCGAAAACCGAAATTTTGGCCCAACATAAAAAAAACCCTTGGCCCAGCCCAAATTTACCCTAAGTATAAAATCAGAAAAAAAAAAACCCTAAGTCCCTAACCCTCAATCCCTCATTCTCTCTCGGTCTCTCCTAGTCTCCTGACTTCCTCTCCTCTAATCCTCTTGCGAATTTCTCAGTTTCATTGCGAATCCAGATAGCTCACCTTTTCAGTTTCACTCTCCACCGTTGCCGTTCACCACTTCACCACTTCACCGTTCAGATTGGTGAGTGTTCGTTTGTTTTTTTGTTTTTTTTGGTTTGGTTTACTTGGATGTTTTTCTTGTATTCATGATTTTGATTCCAATTTTTATGCAATGCAATGGTTGTGTACTTGTATAGTTGTATTATGTAAATTCTTCTCTGTAACTTTTAATTTTGGTAATTTATTTCGAGGATATGTTTTTAACTAGTGTGTGTTTTAGAGCCTAGTAATTTATGGTTCTTACTCACCCAATCTCTCTCTTCTGAATTCAATTTCTCAGCATGTCATTGTTCAAGATTTTGCTTCATTATTCAAGACACGTCAAATTGGGTCAAATAAAATTGCTCAACAACAACTCATCATTTTCACATCTCACCCACCAAAAATTAAAAAAAAAAAAGAAAAAACGAATGTGCTTTCGTGATGATCGATGATGAAGATTGATCTGCCTTTGCGATGATCTGATTTGATGTTGATAATTTTGATTTTTGATGGTCTGCTGGTTTTAATCTGGTGTAGTTGTCTTTTTATGATCAATAAAAGAAAAAAGGATCTAGTCATCTGATTTTTTGATGATGTGATCAATTTGGTTATTGAATTAGAGTAATTAAATTAGAGTAAGAAAAAAGAGAGAAGAATTTCGAACAAGTTGAAGCAATAAAGCAGCTTCTGAATTGTGATAATTGTCGCCCACCAATATTTTAAATTTTGTTTTCCCTTTTTTGTTTTAAAAAAGAAAAATTGTTTTCCTTTTTTTATACCAAACAAAAGGAAATTAATTGGTTGTTAATCGTTTACGTTTTCTTAGTAATACCAAACAACTAGTAAGGGTAACACTATACATTACCCTTTCCCCTCCTAATTTGTTTCCATTCCGTTACCTTTACAAAGTTGATACCAAACGCCCCCTTAGTTTCATGTGGGTTTTTTTTTTAATTTTTATTTTATTTTGGGGTAATTTAGTATGAATTAGTACTTTTAGTTCAACTTGAAGAGTTGATAATGATAAGTGTCATTCTCGTGTAAGAAGAATAGGAAATGGAAGTTTTTGTTTATTGGTAAATATATGGTACTCCCACATTAATTATTATGAGATTATTGTAATATATTGATTTTGCTTCTGGGGTAGCTTAATTTGAGCTATAATTTGTTGGGTTGAAGTGGTTTTTGTGCGAATTTGTGTTTTTTTTTGCTGTTTATACTTAGTTGTTTCTTCTTGTTGTGTTTTTTCTTCTGAACAATGGGTTTTGACTTCTGATTGCATTTTTTCATGTCTATGTCACAAATTTGAGTAAGCTGAAAAACTGACTTGTGAAATTGAGGATATATGGATGGAATGACAATTTCTTTGCAGTTGTAGGGTTCTATGCTGCTGAGTGCTGACCTGCTGTAATGATGTTGCTGCTGCCCTGCTGCTTGTTGCTACTGCTGTTAAACAATTGTTAAAGTTGTAATGTTGAACAATTTTATTTTTTTTTGGGATGAGGTGTTGAGCTTTTATAACTTTGAATTATAACTTTGAAGTTTTAGAACTTGTTAATGTTGTTTAAATCTCATTAAGCATTTATGCTACTACATATGTTGTTGAATATAATATTTATATGATTTAAGCCCACAAAAATTGCAGATTAAATCCCAAATAAACAAGGCCCAAAAAAATTCGGTTTGGTTCGGTTTTCTCTTTTGAAACCGAAATTTGTATGGTTTGGTTTGGTTTGGTTTGGTTTCAAAAGTAAAGTGGTGCGGTTTGGTTTCCAAAAACCAAAAACCGAACAAAAATTGCAGATTAAATCCCAAATAAACAAGGCCCAAAAAAATTCGGTTTGGTTCGGTTTTCTCTTTTGAAACCGAAATTTGTATGGTTTGGTTTGGTTTGGTTTCAAAAGTAAAGTGGTGCGGTTTGGTTTCCAAAAACCAAAAACCGAATTAGTGTGGTTCGGTTTCGGTTTGGCCTATAAACCAAACCGAAAACCGAACTTTCACCCCTACATATATGTGCCTTAATAAAAAATTTTAAGGCACTTTCAATGTAAAAGGTATTCATTAGCAGATGATTTTACCATCGATTTTAATAATGTTAAAAAAAGTACTCCCTCCGTCCTTTTATTAAGTATCTGTATTCCTTTTTTGGCAAATAAAAATTAAGAACCTGATTCTATTTTAAAATTGTACTATTTGAAAATATTCGCCACTTTCTGATGAGTTGTCTCACTTTTTTGTACTAATAATGACTTTTTACATCAATTTCCACCACTTTCTCTCTCCCTTTCTTCAATTATCCTCAACCACTTTTTTTTTTTTCTCTCTATCTCTCTCTAACCCCACATGCACTTATGTACTTTCACCAATTTTTTTAATTCCCGTAAAAAAAACCCAAATAGGTCCTTAATAAAGAGACGGAAGGAGTACTTTAATACGCGTAACAAAAAAGGACAAAACCTTGAACATTGTTTTTGATTTTGGTGTCTAGAGAGTCACAAAGACGAGTAATGAGAGTTGATTCCAAGATCCCCTAAAATCGGGATGAAGCTCTAACCATTTGAGTTATCTCTCACTCTCAAAACCTTTAATGAACATTGTATAAATTAAGAATTATCGTACTAAATTTTTTTTAAATCACAGACGTTTAAAGCTCGGACTTTCATTTTACTAACTAACAAATACAAATACAAATACAAGAGGAACGCTAACAGAATTAATGTTGCAGTACTAATACATTAAGAAACATGCATGAATTTGAAGAAATGCTTATCAAACATGAACAAATAAATCATTAAACATCGAACAATGAAAATCTGCACCTAAACTTCACAATTTTATCACATCGACGGCTTAACACGATTACTTGGTAATGGCATAGACGGCATAGATGATTCCGGGGAGGTAGCCAAAAAATGTCAATATTAGGCAAATCCAGAACTCTACCTGCAAGCCAATTATACGAGTTTTAGTTACATATATTGAGTTTATTAGTGAGGAAAATCGATTAGAAAATTAATGAAGATTATGCAAAATTAGTCCATTTAACTATTTAAGGATTCAGAAGATCAGTTCATGTTAGCTACTAACATAATCTTGACTCATGCATGAGTAAAAATATAGTACGAAGTATTTAAAATTAGAAATAAAATTGCATGGATCCTGAAAATATACATAAATAATAATACATTATAATTTATTAGATAATGCATATTAAATAATTCAAGACAATTTCGATTGCAATTCAAAGATTTCAAGATTTACAATTTTGAGTGTTTTAAATCAAAAGTATTTCACGATTATTAATATCATATCACACCAAAAAAAACTCTTTTCTTACTTTGTGTAATTCTTCCATCTAGGATTATACATTATTATAGTGTTATGTAAACTCGTATTGTGACAACTAAATTCTTAAATCAATGGAGGTGAATAAGTTAGTCGTAAAAGGATGATATTTACCTTAAACTTGTAATGGAGGTTGCACATTCGGATCCTTATATTCCTAACCATTTATTAAAACTACGCATATCGATATCAACTTGTAATTAAAGATTAGTGTAAATCAAAAAATTCTTTCAAATGCAAAAATTCTCTTAATTATATCATCAGATATTTATAATTCTTCCTATGACATGCCAATAAATCTAAAAAAAAAAAAAAAAACAAAAAAACAAAAAAAAAAAAAAAAAAAAAACACTTCTATTAAGGTGGGTGCAGTGTTATCAAAACTAAATAATTATAATTAAAACAATAAATTCAGTTGCAAAAGATATTGACAACGAAAATTAGAAACTAAAATAAACACCTACTTCAAACCATTCAATAATATATGAAAACAAAATAACATTTCTTTCATTCAGGATCTATCATCACAGTGATAGTATTATGTGAACTAGTATCGTGACAATTAAATTCAAAAGGTCGTAACGATCATAGGAAGATGATACTTACCCTACAGCCAAACTTGAGAAAAACACCAAGAGGGGGTAGAATTATTGCTAGAAGTATATCAATACAAGTTGCTGTTGAATCTGACATTTTTATTTTCAGATCGAGATTTTTGGTGTGATAATAAACACAATTACACAAAGTAAGAAGGGAGAAAATAGCAGGGTTGTTAGTGTAGGTTTTAAGATGGCAACTTACATATGGTTTTAGGATCTTTATATAACCTACACTCACTCTCTCCCAAAACAAAAATCAAATTTTTTTATTTATTAATTGTAGTTGGGTGTGGAAGGAGCTTAACAACTCGTATATTTTTTGGGTGTAACCTAACATGATAACAGCTCATACATGCATGTAGTTGTTTTTTCTTTTTTTTTTTTTTTCTGTTGACGAATGGATATTATATAATTTTATAATGTAGGTCACGTGAGTAGGAAAATGTTAGAAACGGTAAAATTACGTCTGAATATGTTGTGGAAACTGTAATTGTATTTTGGTACAATGCACATTTATAAAGTAGGAAATGATCACATTTCCTCAAAAAAAAGTAGGAAATGATCACATCATTTGTATACAATTACCATAGATTAACATTATCGTCGCATCTAATGATACTTAAAAATATTTAAATGAAGTATAGGTGGGTCAAGGAAAAAGAATCCAATTGTACAAATAAAGACTCACAACACTCCCTCTACAATACTTAATTCCCTAAATTGATTTTCAAGTTCATTTGTAAATCATGTTACATACGGAGTACTTATTTAGTTATGTACGGTTCGGAAAATGGAACAACTAATTTCAGACGAAAGAAATATAGACGTCGACATTAAAAACACCCAAGGGTGAGGTGAGGAATATATCAAACCTAAAGCTAGTATGAAGTAACACAAGCAAAATAAAGCAATTAGACAGGTAATAACATGTGTATAAGTATGTATTATGGCCTGATTATAAAGCAAAAGCTTACATGTTTTGTCTGTGTAGGAGAATAGGTTCTCTCATGTGTTTCTAGTCTTCCAGATCCGACGCAACCGTAATCGGTGTATTATCTCTCTAAGTTCAGTTTCTAATTTCTTAATTAACACCACTAATTATTATTTAACCACGTGAATTAACAACTTGGTCTGAATATTATGGCCGACCATTTTGTTCAATAAACTCCTAGGGTTGTATCTTGTTAAACAATATCGTGGTATCATAAATGAAATAAGGTTTTAGAATCAAGCATATGATTTTTGTTTTTTTTTAATGCCATTAAAGTGGACTTGAATTTGTTGATTTAGTAAAATAGAAATTTGTTTGCCTATGATAAAAATTTAGGAGACATTTTAGGATATATTCTTGTATATTTGTGTTAATTCAAGGATGTTTTTCATATAGCAAACATGCATCATATACCATGTATTTCTTTAATTATGAAAGTACACCTAAAATGAATACATAAATCCTACACAGTGTGAAAATTAACTACGTATTGCATTATATACTACTCCGTAGCATATTTTGACAATGATTGTTTGTATCCTACATAAACTTCATTCCTACATAGGCTACATTCGAAAATTTTATCATTAAGTCATTTCCATTTTCATATAAGCTATCCGAACGCGGGGGGAGAGGGAAAGATCATTTGTATGATTTCATTTTAGTTTTAGGAGTAAGGAACTAACAAATGAATAGATAAATGTAAACAAGATTTGATCTCATTTCTTATCCATGCATTCATAGGTTTTGCTCTCTAATTTTACACGTGATGATTTATATTTTATAAAAGTAAATCGTGTATCACTTAGACTTCTTACCAAATCCGCCTATATTCGAGTGATCTAAAGAATTAGTATTACAACAACGTCAAAGAACTACAATATGCATTTTAGGTTCCATGCATTTTGATTTTAGAATCAATATTGATTACAACAACCAAATAATAATATGATACCAGCATGTATGGGGAATAAGATACTAAGAACCTGAATCTCCTGTTGAACTCCTGATGACAAATTTTATAGGAAGAAATGGTGAGAAGGAACAGACTTAAACTTGTAAAATTCTATGGCGGTGCCAAGTAAATAAGTAATTCTTCATTGTGAATGACGACACTAAATTTTGATAAGCAATTACGTGATTTTGCGATTATTTGTTGACTATTCCTCGTAACAAAACAAAAGCATGGAATTATCCTACTACATAGTACAAACAGCTAGGCAACTTAATCACGAATCACAGCTAAACAAATATAACAAAAGAAACCTCACATGGTGATGATGCACTGATGCTTACATCATTTTCACCATCACGATACTTTTTTAATAAGAAATATGCTACACCGGCAATAATAATTACAATCAATTGTATCTTTTGCATCATACTCCATAGAATCTAAAATCTAAGACTTATTTTCACCATATGTTTGTACTTTGTGGCAAAACCCGAATTTAACCTGACCTGATTACTGTAATATATACTAAAAAGAGTTTAAATACCAGAAAAGTTAAATTCCAAGTTTATATTAAGTTCCTTTGATTATGCCTATAACATAATATAATTAGTTTTATTGTACCGGTAAAGTTAAATAGTCCAAGTTAAAGATTAAGAGTTCAACCACCACGTTCAACTGCTTTGTATATCCATATTGAAAGAAACGACGCGTTGATCAATCTTCCACATGAGCATGTCGGATATTCAACATCAAATATATGGAACATATTGAAGTTTTTTTTAAAAAAAAAACGTTCTTTTCTTCTTTCCTTTCCTTCATCCAATGCTTGTATTGCTTAATCAATTTGCCGGATATTAAACTGCATGAACATTACAGGTAATCCCCGTTTTCGAATTACTCAAATGTTAATCGTTGCAATTCCAGTCGAGTACTATGCAGTACGAATACATAACCTTTTAAGGCATAAGTTTTCTTCTACATATCCATAACACTGCCTCACAATGTCCTAGCATATGCTTCCAGCAAATCATGTCACCTAATCAGAGAAATGCCAGCAGTTATATGCAGTATACACCACCAGATGCAATATATGAAGAAAACATGGTTTTATCAACCAAAAAAATTATTAAGATGTACCTACTCAACGAGCAATTTTATCTTCTCTTGCTTGAAGTGCTTCTACTTCCTCATTTGAGAGGATGTCAACAATTGGTTCATACACATCCCAATCTTTTCTTTTCCTGAATTTTACAACCAATAAATTTCAAACTGTAAACCTTATTTTACTCTCAGAAGAATGAATTTATTTTCAAACTGTAACCAGTTTAAGGGGAAAAAAAAAAAAAAAAAAAACCATGATACAAAACCGCTAAAGGTGTTACCAATGAGCGAATTACATGCAGCTTAACACAGAATAAGGAAATCACTCCTTCCGTCCCATATTAATATATAGTGGGGAGCTGCATTAAGGTGAGGGAGAAGGAAAATGTATATGGGACATTCGAAAAATGAATACATATAGATACTGTGAGGGTATACTAATGCCATAAGCCAGAATTGTCAACAGAAATATAACAGATCAATGAGTCTCCGTTGAGTATGTAGACGTATACCATGCATCAATAGGCTTCCATCCAGATCACAGTGCATTGAAGCCAACACCATGCATCTCAAGTTTATTACCCACACCTATTTAAACCTCCTCAGTTGCAAGAAAAATCTATCTCCAGCTTAGACCACAATATCTAGTACATCTAAGCAAACTGCATATCTTGAATAGATCAACTATATCAATTTGACAATACACATGCACCAGCAGGTAAAGTTGACCACAGGTCAGCATTGTTAAGAAACGGCCTAATGAACAGAGCATATTCTACAATTGCCTCACAACATATGCCAATAGAATGGTGTCAATTATTAACATACCATCTTAGTCTAGAGGTAAAAACTAATCAAGGCAGCTGACAAGCGACTGAATTAACATGATACTCTTATGTATATATAGTTTAGGCCTATCATGCAAGTGTAGGGCAAACTCCGGTTTTAAAAAGGAAATTAAGGATATGTATAGTAACAAAACAACAGAATTCCCATATCATGCTAGTAAAGGGAAAAAAATCTAAATCGAAAGTCTTACCGAATGACACTTGATTTGCTGCCAAACAACTTAGCCAAATCCACTGCAGTAACGCCAGCTTTGCTGAGAAGGGACATGTCAATTATAAAACTAAAGTTCACTATATTGGGACATGGACTAGCTATCTCGTTGATATACATGCATTAACATACCTAACAGGCATGTACTCAATTCCACGACGACCCTTCTTGCTTACTCTAATCTCCTTAGCCGAGGTTACATTTTGGACTGCAATCTGCAAGCCATGATTGACACACACAGCAGGAAATGATATAAATTCTTCTTTATTACAAGCATACGTATCACAAATAAACATGTTTAGAGATTTCAGGAAATGTCAGCACCTCATAAAGTTGCTCCCTTATGGCAAAAGCAATAGCAGGCTGCGAAAAGAAACAATCAGTGATTCACGTTAAGGATGGGGTCATTCAGAACATGATTACATACAAATACATGATATCTCACAAATTAGCAAGCTTTCAAACACCATCTAATAATTTTCATTATTTAATTCACTGATATCAGGTAAAAAGAGGGTCATAAGCACATTGGATAGAGCCAATGAGTAAGAAGAATCGTCCTACTCCAACTGCCGAGTGGAAATTGAAGAATGTTTGCTAGTTATAAAATGTTCAACAAATTCATAATAGCAAGATTTTACCTTGATTTGATTTTTCCAATTACCACCGTGTAATAAGGTCACATTATCAAAGTCTTTAAGTTCACTAGTAGTCTATTTCTAAAGAACCATCGTGTGCCACTTTTCCACTGCCACTTTCAAAGCAACCTAAAACAATTTCTGCTGTGACCCTATTTCATATTTTGTGTTGTTACTCACTTACTCTCTGTCTTGACGTGTTTTAATTTGCCACATCCATAACACAATTAATGTTTTTATTTAATTTATAAGCAATATCATTAATATTACTTCTATGTGCTGACTTTAGATGTTCTCTATCTGTAAGTTTATTGTACCTTAGCTTTTACATGACTCAAGAAGTTTCAAGTTGTTTTGACTAGGTTGCCAATAGAAGAATCATAAGAAAAATCAGACTCGATGAAACAGATTCCAGCATTAGGAAATTACTAGCATAATAAAAGAATTATTTAGATGTCATGCAAATGTTGACCAAGTTTGATAGAAACTCTTGATATAAATTCGAAGTTTTGATCTGTATCTATATGCATCAACATGCTTGCATTACATGACATCAAAGCAGCTAACATAGAAATTTCAATGAGCACTATAAAGTTGGAGCATGGACGTAGAACAAGCAAAGTGACAGTTCCACAATTCATAGGACCAATGCTTGTAGAACATGTTAATAACTTAGTTAACAGTTTGAAATTGGCCATGGCTTCACTTCTTGCCCAGGAATTCTATATATATGCTTAGCACCCAAGGGTTTGTGCATGCATGTCTGACATCTATCAGGTCCATGCTTGATGTTCAAGCAAGGTAGCTAAGATTTGGGCAAGATAAAGGACTACTTCCTAGAGTTTCCTAATCTTGGTAAAATGGCAGGAGCCAAAAACAGGAATTTTCCTGGAGGAAGATTCTAGGGCATTGCATTATCTGGGAGTTCACAGATAGGAATGCATCAGCATGTAACTTTTTTAGGAAACTGCAGATAGTCAATCCAGAGAAACATTTTAATTTTCATAAAAAAAGGATGTTAGTTATTTGCTTACTCCAACTTCAGGATCGTCAATTCCCATGTCAGCACAGAAGATCTTTGCAAAGTCCTCAGGATCACTTTCCATATTGTTCAAGTCCTGAAAATGACAATGTACCTTATTCATATGAGGTTCAAGACAGAATTATAACCAGCCAAAACTCTCATATAAATGACATAATCTTACCCATAAAAACTGGTCTCTGATAAGAGTCTGATTTACTCGAAGATCTAGCTGCAAACGAGTAACAGACAATCACATCAACAAGAAGATTAGATATTACATCCAATTATACAGAAACCATCACAAGAAAATCAATCATCAAACCTTGATGGGGACAATCTTCTCACCAACAATCATATCTTGGCCTTCATATGACCGAAATTCGGTCAGCTGTGACTGCAATTACCAAATGCCAGCAAGTAATAACAATATAGTTAAGTGCTTTTAGTTCAAAAGTAGAATACACATTTCCTACATAATTTGCGTTCTGCCAAGAAACTGCAAATCATTTTACATGAGTCTTGAGGTTTTAGTCACACGGACTATACAAGTTTGAATAGGAAATGCACATCTCCACAGGTAGTAGAGAAAAAGGAACGTAATATTTCCCCGGGGGGGGGGGGGGGCGCAAAAAAAAACTTTCGTACCCACGAGCATAAAACTAGGTGAAATTTCTGTGGGGCAAATAGGCAATCCCCACTCAACATCCAGAAGTTCCTTGACCCGAGTGTAGAGATTAGATGCAAGGGTTGCTAAGTCATCGCCAGGAGCAGTGCACCACATTGCCAGGGTGTGCTGACAAATAACCATGAGCTTGGCACTACACCTCTTAGACCCGGGTATGGTAATTATGCAAAGGTTGCTAGGTCGACGGACAGTGATGGTGCACCACATTGCCCAAGTGTGGTACTTTGACCTAAATTCCAAATAGAATCTTGGCACATTGGATCCCTTACCAGAAAGGTAGTAGAATTAGTGGAGGTGATGAAGAGAAGAAAAATTAACATATTGTGTATCAGAGCCAAAGTAATTATGCCTTAGCGTTATAAATTATGATAAGTAGCACAGAGTTGGCTACTTTCGTTAGTTTTGTTCTATTCAATGCCTTCTCTACCTCAACTTTTGAATAAGTTATGTTATATAAGTCTTTTAACCTTAGATACGAACTTATTCAGCAAAATTTGGAGGACAAATTTGATCTCACAAGGAGAAAAAGCACCTTGGTACCAATTTACAAGAACAAACAAGATGCACAAGATTGCTCCAACTACAAAGGGATAAAATCGCGCCATGAATTTGCAGGAGAGAGTGATAGATCGTTGATTAAGAAATACAGGTATTTTGGAAGACCAGTTTGGGTTTATGCCAGGGCGATCAACCATGGATGCAGTTCATTTGATTAGGTTAAAGATGGAGTATTACACAGTGAAAAATAAGGATTTGCATATGATTTTCATTGATATGGAGAAAGCTTATGACAAGGCATCGAGAGAAGTGCTTTGGTGAGCAATAGCCAAGAGGTATTTCTAAAATCTATATCAACTTAATAACTGTTAGGACCTGTGGTAGAGTAACAAAGGATTCTCTAACTACGATTTACTTCCATCACGTGACAGCATTATACCCTTTTCTCTTTGCAACAATTTGGATGAAGTAGCAAGGTTTGTCCATCTATTTTACTAGTGGAAAACTAAAGTTGGGGTAAATGTTTGTTGAAATCTCACAGTTATAAAGTGAGTTAGAGTTAAACAAAGTACATGGAATGTCGATTTAAGTATTTAACACTGCAAGGAAATCAAGTGGAGAGGTATTAGCTTCGGACGGAAAGAGTTGTCCAACAAGTTTTTGAAGTAATTTGGAGCGATTTTACTGTAGGATGGAGATATTGAACGAGATGTGAACCAAAGGATTTAATCCAAGTGGAGAGCAATCAAGATATTGTGACAAGAGCATACCCTTAGTGTAAAAGGGGAAATTCTACAGGAGACTATTAGAACAATGCTATATGGATCTGATTCCAGGAAGGACAAAGATGAGAGTAGCAGAGATGGGGATGTTGAGATGGATCTATGGCAACAACGTAAGGGATAAAACTAGAAATGAAGATATCAAAAGAAATGTTGGACTTGCGGACATTGAAAGAAAAAAAAGTAAAGAATTGATTACATTGGTTTAGGGATGTAAAAAAAAGAAATGAAGATCAAAAATCTGGTAAGGTTGTAGAAAGTTGGGATCATGAGTCTTAGAAGAGGTCTAGAAAACCTAAGATGAATTGGATAGAAGGAAATAATAATGATATGAATAAATTAATACTAGAGGAGCATATAGCAGTTGAGAAAAGGGAATGGAAGGAGAGGATCATGATTGAGGATCACTAGAGATAAAATCTTTGTTCACGTAGACAACCCCATCATTGGGATTAAACTCTTGATGTTGTTCTTAATATTTACCAAATCTCATGTGATTTTTCTTCCCTGCAGTACATAATAAATGCAACATATATGAACTTCAAACAAAAGTATGGCGGGAGAATACAATAGGATGTCAACACTAATAAAAAAAAAAGGGCTTGCTCCCCCTAGTTTAGTCAATTACCATCAGATACACTAGCATCGATCAAAAGTAAGCAGGGAAGTAAGCAGGTCTACATTTACCAAGGTTTTAAACAAAATAAATAACCCCTCCATCCATATTAATGTTCACATAGCTCCATATCTCTATATTCCATTTTTGCTAACAGGTATATCTTAAATTCCAGCTGTTGCAGTGGTGCTTACCTTCATCAACTCAGTATCCTAGATATTAGAAAAGTGAGCAAGGAAAAAGGTTTTACCCTAATTGGAATCCAGGTGCATAGTTTGTCTGGCACCAAACCATGTGGATCTACGCCAGCCTTAGAATAAGGTAAAACAATTTTTTTATCTGTCTTAATACGCACATCTTAGAAAATAGACAGATACGCAGCAACATACAACATTTTTGGTTGACACTTTTTTCTGTTAGAACAAGGTCAAGCTCAATAAGTTTTGACTTTTGAGCACTAAACTCTTCACCTCTAGCTGCTTGATTGTGATAGATTTTTAAGCAACTTTCTCTCTCTCATGGCCTAAAAGTTGCATCCTTAGTCACAATCCTGCTTTTATTTGTCTAGATATTATCCAAGCAGAGTGCTTTACTGCTACATTGAACCACCACTAGCAAATCTCATCCCACCCCTTACTTTAGCAATGCCACCCACTCACTAAGCTCACAGCCTTGGCAAGAAAACTGACAACTTTCATTGCTTCCTAGATCATGAAATATAGAAGTCCTCCCTATGTTTAGTACAAATGTGGTTATAATTTATTGTTATCATGCACTAATATGCTTTAAACTATGACACAAGACACTTAAAAATATTTCATTAGAGAAAAAAAAACATGTGGAAAATGATCAGAGGAATGATTACAAAAAGGGCCCCATGGATCAGATTAAGAAGTGAGGAATAGACAGAAGTGATTTGTAATATAGCATGACGCGTCATCTTATTAGTTCATGTTTAAGTTCTCTTTTGGATATCAAAAAGAAAGAGAAAGAGAGTTTTAAAAGGGTGCATGCATTTAGTAAACCTCCACTCACTTGAATTGACTGGGCAATCTGAGTTATAAATCCAGTTGGGAGCTTCAAGTCCTTTACGGTCTTTTTTGCAAACACTGCCACTTCTGAATCAGGATCTGCAAGTCAAATCAGCAAGTGGAGGTGAACAGTACTTTGGAAAACACTTCCAGCATTAAAAACAGAGAAGTCTAGCAATAAATTTAACAATAACAAGAATATTGTCAAAATAATCTTAAAGCTACAGATGTAAGACCCTGTATATTAAGAAATACTTTAACTAAGTATTTCGTTATTTTAGGTAATCTACTAATTAATTATTTTACCAAGGGGTATTTATTTAATTTACTTTTGAAAAGATATTTTGGCGCAAATGAAAAAATTTTGAAGTATCAATTTTAAAATTTTTATTTATGATTTTCGGATTTTGATTACATAATTAACTTAAATATTACTCCACATCATTATTTTAGGATTATTAATTATCCAAAAAAAATTATTTTATAAAATCTGGCTGGTTAGGCACTTAGGCCTTGTTTAAAAGTTTTAACCTAACTTTCTTTAATACTCATCCTTTTAACTTATAATTAAACCATTGACTGCCAAACCTTAGGATCCCTAAAATTCTAAAACCTAGCTTACAAAATTAGTCATGAAATCCTAATTAATTAGAAATTCTAATGATCATAAAACCTTAAATAATTTTTTTCTTTTTAAAGCCCTAATATTATCCCAAACCTAGAGGTGTCAAAACTACACCCGAACCGACCCGAAAAATATCCGATTCAGATTTCGACTCGCATGGACACAATAATTTAGTATGACTCAACTTTAAAACTTGACCCGACCCGACCTCATCAGACCCGATCCGATCTTCCGAATTGACATCTCTACCCAAACCTATCATCTAAATATCTAAACTATAATTATTCTCTCCATACATCTCAATTTCTTCACACAAAATTCATTCGTGGAAGGCCTCATTAACTATAGTTTGATACAATTTAACCTTTCTAAAGCATGTTTAATTATAATTAAAATGAATTTATATATCTAGAGTTTGTATGTACTTAGTGACGTTAGCGTTTTCGCTAACTCACGTTCCATTTTGTTTTGGCTTTGCCCTACTCATCATTATGATGAGTAAGTACGGAATGAGGACTCGACATAATCTAATTGCTTCATTGGGGACAAAAGGCGATATTCACCTAGCCTAGGTTTCATGTTTATAAATTCTAGTATGAGTACTCTTTTGGATATGTTTTGGAATATTATCGTTAGTAGTAATCATAAAAGTTAAGTATAATTTTTCTTCCTCTAAGAGTCTTTAATTTTGGAAAGCCGTACGTAATCACGCGACGGTAAAACCTGAAATTTCTCTTCAAAGCATATTTATCATTATTATTCTAAATTTTAAAAGAGAGGAATATGGGGTGTTACAATAGATGTTCACATCCTAAATTAAATCCAACAACGAAACAATCTAGCACAATCAATAATCTGATTCCATAAAAGGATCAAAGAACTAAAATTCATTGGTTCCTACTGCTGTCCCACCATGTGTAACAGAAATTATACCAATTTGAATACGGAGGCGGACAGATTGTCTACACAGATCAACAGATGAAAATTGCAACTATGCTGATGTAATCAAAAAAAAAAAAAAAGCCAGAACAAAACAAAAAAAAAACTTGACATCTCCTGTGATTCAAAGCTGAGGCTACAAAATGTATAATAAAAAGAACAAAAAAAAAAAAGGATAAAATGAAAATCTTATAAACCTTAGTCATTGATTAAGTAGATCATCATACTTTAAACCTACCTATTTCATCTCTTAAAACAAATGAAGAAACATCAACAACACTTATCAGGACACATAAGGTTTTTTCTTTGGCAGCAATCTGAAGGGAAGGAAATAAAATATAAGTCATTTAACAAACAAACAGCTTGAACACTAGAGAGTAACAAGTCCTAACCACTCCACTCAATCATCCATGAAGACCAATGATAAGTTCCACTAGGGTAACTAATTAAAAAGTAATAACTTTTCAAATTCCCAGAAACACGTGCTTTAACATCATCATCATCAATTAATAATCAAAAAAGACAATCACTCACAAAAATTTGACATTATCTCCTTTTATTTCCGCAGAGATCAAGGGTAACACTAGTGTGTGTTTGTCTTCTCCTGCACATCGCAACACCTTTAGCTCTTGGCTACCAAAAAAATTAGCACAAAAAAAGAAGAGTTGATTTCCCAACAAACTTTTTGGAGTGAAACGGGAATAAACTAAGAGACTATACCCTTTCAATGGAAATACGCACAACTTGGGGACTCTATATCCCTGAGGCTTGGTGCTTGATGCTATATCTCCTAAATTATTGTTATTAAACAGAAACATTTGTAGGGGAATGTTATAAGCAGCAGAAGGTCCTTTTTAGTACAAAAACTATTTCCAGACTTCGAACTCAACGCATAACTTCTTTTGCCCAGTTTTGAAGATCCCATAATACTGGATTTGATTCAACAACCTTTACAGCTACAATTTAACTTTTATAATGACCAATTCACATTTGCTGCTTATTACCTCGATTGCTGATCTCCTGATCTCTTCTTAATTATACTTCCCAAAACATTCCGTGGATTAATGCAACTTTCCTTGTCTCAGGATGCCTAGGCATTTACTGAAGCCTTGCCTCATTTGAACCTTAATTTCAACTTTAGGTGCACATAACAGCTGATGGAATCTGTAGTTCCCTACTACAACACTCAACCAACATTGGAACAAGCTCCATATAGTAATCCTCTACAAATTTGATAAGTGAGCAGGCCTCAGTTAACAAAATAATAATGGTTGAAGGACTCACCATTATTAGTTCCCATAAAATACCTCTTGAAATCAGTATCCACTTGTCAAAAATTACAAAGACCAAACAATCAAGTAGTAAATAGAACAAGCTAATCCCCTAAACCGCAAATTCACTATTATAAGTTAGGTATAAACATAAGCATTCTCCTCCCAGCCTGCCTTCACACAAAATATTTAAGTAAAAGAAGAGAAGGAAAGGATATAGCTACCTATAAAGCTCCATATAAGAACTCTATGGTTGTCATCTCATGGTCAGAAGATGGAAGAAAAGAAGAAGCAACAGAAATAAGATGACAAGGTCTAAGGATCTCCTAGATCAATTCAGCCATTAGTCGCTCATGATCACATACAATAAACCATACTAGAGAAACAGATTTCAACAAAAGACATAGTGAAAGTGCCCTTATCTCCCCGCGAGAACAATGTTTTCTTCCTAATTATGTACTAGAACAATCGCATAACCTAATACCTTTAGTAGGAATCTAGCAAAGTAGGAATTCAGATGTATGGAATTATCACCTCTATGCTACCATAACAATTGTATAAAAGAGTATTTATCAGATTTACTGGTCAGCTTCAAAACAAGCATAGATAGCTTAGTACTTTAGTGATATATTTGATGTAAATCATAGTGATGAAAAGCTAAAACCTTTCGGACATTCTCCTAATATTAAGTGTAATCTTGAATCACTCTCTAGTAACCATGTTTGTAACAATACTACTGCTAATGTGCTAGGAATTAGCATGGTTTACAGCACTAATAATGGCAGAAAACAGAGGAAAAATGGTGATTACATTGATAAGATGAGAATTACACTAGTTCGGATGATAATTCCACTTTCAAGAAGTGGATTCTCTCCAAATATGAGCTTTCGAGAGGCTCACTCTCTCCCAGTAACAATCCTCGCAATATTCAACATATCCTTATTCCTCCTAATGAGGCCTATTTATAGAAAATCCTTCCTAACAAACCTCTAGCTTATTCCCCAAGTTACTACTAATAGACTATGACTAATATGCCCTTCCCTCAAATATTGATTCCTTGCATAATGCTTCAAATATACGAAGATCTCCAAGAATCCAATCTTCATATATGAGCCAGGTATAAACATTGGCAAAATTTACAGGGAATTCTCTATTTTGCACCCTTCAGTCATCAATTGTTCTTGGAATAGCAAAAGTCTCTAAATATGATCCTTATATCACAAACAACATAATAGTTGATAACATCGCCAAAGGAACATTTTCTACCTAAAAGTTATGTGGAGCATAAGCATTAGTCACCAGAATATTAATAAGTATATCCATTTAAACCCCTTAAAAGAAATAAATTAAGCCTCCTTTGATATGGTCGTATGAACTTTAAACATAATGTTTTCCCAATAAGCCGCCTTGCTCGAATCCACATTATTTCTTGTCTAAATGGCTCTATTGGAAACTCGCATTCAATATCTCCTATAAGATGCTCTATTTACTTATTAAAGATTGCTGCAAATCACTGTTACTTCAACAAGGGAAAGAATATCCCAGCACTTCAGTGTTAATCACCCATTCTTTTTTAAAAACACCAACAAAACGAACCTCCTCAAGTCCTCATCAAGGAACACTCCTAGGGGACTACATACATTCTCCTTTTCCATTTAACCATCAAAAGATTTTATTTCTCTCACATAGCAATATGAGTATGAGTATCCTTACTATCTCCTACGGCTTACTCTCTATAGTACAAAATTTGAGGTCCCGTCATCATCGCCAATAAAAGGGGCTCATACTAGTTAGCATTTATACCTTTCTAATTACTTTCCTTATCTTCTAAATGTGGCTTGCTGTACAAACATCCTTGATTACACCAATAACCCAACTCTTAATCATACCATTTACACCCAACTGTCTCAAGTTTACTTATACAATTCATCCAAACTGCCAAACTATAACCCTTTCCAGTCCTCTACTCGCCTGAAATCCACCAATGGCCTTCAACAATTTCAACAACAAACCACCCCCCCCCCAACCCCCAAAAAAAAAAAAAAAAAAAACACTCAAATTGAAAATATGGGAATTCCTTACAACATCAAATAAATACAAAAACAACTAATTGGTACAGAATTTAATTTAGGGGCAATAAAATTTGATTAAAACAATAAAGTCAAAGAAGAATAAAAACCTGAAGGGTTCCAGGTAAAGGCATCTTTATATCGCTGACCATCAATTTCAATGTCCAATCGAATTGGAACTAGATTTTCTGCAGTTGGCCTGTAATCATAAAACAAAAGGGTCACAAAAACATCAATTTTTAGTTGCTTAAACACAATCAAATTATCAAAGAAAAATATAATTTTATTTCAAAAAAAAAAAAAAAAAAAAAAAAAAAAAAAAAAAAAACCAGTATAATTATAAGAGTGAAAATGAAAAGAGAAAATAATTGAGGGTTTACATTCTGAATTTAACTGGGTGGCGGTATGCTGGTGCTAGTTGGGACTTCATGCTTCTTCTCGCAACTTTGTTTGCCGGTGATTTTGGCGCTTTTATTTTTATTTTTTTGTGTTCCCCTTTTCTTTTGGTGGTTTCGTCTTACAGTCTTACAGAAGCTCGCTGCGTGATGGACACCTTCCTCAAGTTGAATCGAGGAAGTGGTTAAGGGGCTAAGGGCCAAGGGTCCTAACTCCTAAGGCTCCATTTGTTTTAACGATAAAAAATTTTGGGGAAATGATTTTGTATGTAAAATAATTTTCAAGGGAAAACGTAAATGTAATTAGTTTCTTGTGGGTAGAGTTGTTGACATATCTCGTGTTGACATTCAATGCCATAACAAATTTAGTTTCATTACCAAGAAAAATAGTGTTAAGTAATTGGTGTGTTAAAAAAGTAGAGTTTTTAGGTGGTCCAAATTTTCATTGCATGATAATATGATTGTATTATTTAGCCAAGCTTTGATTTAACTTTTACAATGTAAAAGCTTGGCCAAACACTATCAAATTTGTTCATTTTTGTAACACAACATACCAACATGAGTGAAGATATTGGGATGTGACTCACTAAGGCCGATTAAAGCAACATCAATGATAGCAATAATTGATTCGTGATGAGCATTAACTCCATTAGTAACCAACATGAACCTTAAAAAATCTACATCAGTCTCGATTCCAATCTTCGATATTACTAAATTCCTTGGCAATTGACAAACCTTCATTATTGATACCATATTATATCATTTTACTCAATTTACACCAAATCAATCTAAAACACCGAGGATGAGAGTGAGCTTTAATGAGTAAGAACCCAATCAGTGATCAAGTGGAAGTAGGAATCGTTGACTCTGCTAAAAATATCTCATGTCTCTAGAAATCAATAATCAAATGCACCCTATGCTCACACCCACACATTACCTTTATTTCTCATCCAAGCCAAAGATTTTTGGTAAACTATACATGCCATATATGAAGATAAAAAAAGGTAAGAAAACCCAAGGTTTTTCTTTTGCAGGTTTAAGTAGCGCAAAACAGCTAGCATTGATCACCTAAAATTAAGCATCCACAAAGGAAATGATTAACCCCCCTACATGTGCTTGTTAGCAGGTCATGATATTTTTTTCCTTCCCTCCCCGGTTAATTACTTGTGTAAGGGTTATTAAGAGAGTAAAGCTTAACTCCTCCCCCCCCCCCCCAATAATTGTAATCGGGTTTTCTCCTTCGTCAAAAAAATAAATAACTAAATAACTACCAACATGTACTAAATAAGTATTATTCGAACATTCATAACATCAAATCTGTTATACGTGTTCGCCTTTTTATATGTCACTATATTTGACCCAAAGGTAAAAAATTTCTTTAAACTCCCTTCAAACAAAAAACAAAATTTTACTAGCGAAAACCAATTATTACCTATACTAGACAGAAGGTCCCTTAGGTATTCTTTTGATTTAATATTCTTATTGTTTTCTTCAGAGTACTAATATGAATGAAAATATATTGGACCATAATTTCCAAACGGGCAAGCTTTATACCATCATTTGGCGGCTTGGCAGCTTAGATAATATACATTCCAAAGTGGAATGTTATACCTATGTAAACTTTTTTATAAAGGTTTAGCAACAAAGTCACAACTGCAGAATAGATGTAAAGATCTAAAATGTTTGAACTAGGCTTTACTTTGGCAGCTGAGTTTGGTGAAAATTTATACTGATTCTTTCAATCTCGTAAGTGTGTTACAAGAGGGAACATTATAGAACATCCAACTTACTTGGACAATTGAGGAAATTTGCAACAAAGGCTAACCTTTTCATTTATGTAATATTAGCAAAGTTTAAAGGATAATTTGTAATTGTTTTACTTTGTTTATTAGTTTTCTTGATGTCAAAAATAAAAACGAATATAACGTAACTTAAAAGGTTCTTTTTTTAAAATGTAAATAAAAATGATAATTAAAATAATTAATAGCTTATTTCTTAATAAATTTTTTTATCTATAATGTATCTTAAATTACCAACAATACAAATCGGATTTCATAAGCGTATAACTTATCCAAAATTATGTAATCACCAGATAAGCATTTTGTGTCATTACAATCTCATTGTAGTTACATAATCATGTCATATATCTCTTAAGATACATAATCAAAATAGATCACAAATGATCATATAATAATGGACAAATATTTTGTTAAAATCAAAAGGATATTGCATAATCAAACCTATAAATACTCTCTTAAGACTTGAGTCTACTCATCCATCATATTAATCTCACCCATCTCCAACCCCTAGCTCTTCATTACTTCATTCTCAAAATGGTTAGAAAAAAAGTGAAACTAGCTTACATAGAAAATGACTCTTGTAGGAGAGTGACATACCGAAAAAGAGTGAAAAACTTGGTAAAAAAGACTAGGGAACTAAGTGTCTTATGTGGAGTCGATGCTTGTGCTATCATCTACGGGCAAGATGAGCAAGCACCGGTAGTGTGGCCTTCTTCTGAGGAAGAAGCAAAAAGGATTATCTCCGACTATAATAGTAAGTCGGAGCTTGATCCATCTCAAAGGGGGTTTAACCAATACACCTTCTTGAATGATAGTGTGATCAAGGCGAAGGAAAGGTTGTTGAAGCTCCAAAGAAAGAACCGTGAAAAACAAATCGCAAATATGGTGAGTGACATCTTGAGTGGAAAATCATCTCTTGACCAAGTTAACCCTAATGACTTAGGGGACTTGCTATGGGTGATTGAGGATAAGATAAGAACTATCCAATATCGAATTAGAGTTACTAAGGAGGAGGGTGATAATAATAATAATAATCCTCCTATTTCCGAATCTATAAACTAATAACGATTATCCAAGCAGAGTTTGTGCTAGTAATAATCATACTCCATCGTGGCAAAAGTAGGATGGTCACCTTAGAAAAACTGTGAAATGATGCTTCGTTAAGATTAGTGCAAGTGTATAAGTTCACAAACTCATATTAGTTGCTAATATTTTGTTTTTTCTTCTTCATTATTGTTGTCCCATGGATATTACCTAAGCATAAGTTTCAATGAGATTATTAATCACTACTTTTATAATCTTACGCAAATTAAATTTGGTTATGCCAATGAATTTTATCTTTTCTCCTATAATTATTTCATGTTTAAAATATGTGACATACAATTTTCTTTTCATCTATTACAATAAACAAGGCTTAAGGAGCTAAATACAAATTTGTAGATTTCAATTTTACAAATACGTGTGGAGTATGTAGGGAAGAAATTAAGGTGTTTATTTAGCATACAATTTGAAGTTGAGACAAATTTATTTTTAATCCACTTAAAAAATCTGATTTATAAAAGTCGAGCCCAATCCGATATGAATTCCTTCAAAATCCTATATGATCTTATTCAGATCGGATTTGGATAGATCATAACAAATTTGAAATACAATTAAATATAGGAAAAAAATCAAATATTCCCAACTTTGTCCAATTTACTTTCATTAATCCAAACTATTGACTTGGATATTCTGCAATAATCCTGACATTGACTTGGGTATTCTAACTGGTTAATATAATAGGTTACTATAACACGTGTGAGTGGTCTAAAAAAATAAAAATTAAAACAAAAAAAAATTTAAAAATTAACATGCCTGCATACTCAGCCTCGGCAGCCACCCCCTTACCTTGCCTCAGCCCCAACAGCCATCCCCTCCCCCTGCTCTATCGCCGAACTACCCTCCTTCCACAGCCACCTGATCGGATCAGAACCCCCCCCCCCCCCCGCGCCCCCTCCCCATTTGCTTATATGAATAATCATTATTTGTCAATATGAGTAACCTTAATTATTCATGTGAGTAACCTTATTTATTTCATAAAAGTACATAAGCCCAATCTATTGTACGAGTAACATCAATTAATTACAAAAATAAGTAATCTCATTTGTTCATTCGAGTAACCCCTCTTTTATTTTGACTTTTACTAGAGTAACTTCAATTGTTTATAAGAATAACCCCATTTTCACATAGAGGTAACCCCATTTGATCATCATCGTAACGCCCATTACTTAATCAATTGTTTATATGCGAGATGACCACATCATGTGACTAACCACATATAGGAATCTGTGAAAAAAGACAGAATAAAAATAAGAGAAATGATTGTTTAATTAAATTTTATATAGCTTTTTGTACATAATTTTAAACAAAAAGCCAATATAGTCCAAAATTGATATATAATTGGTATTGGACCATATTGGAAATTTAAATTTGTCAAAACAAAGACATGATCGATCGGTACGGTTCTCTTTAGTTTGGTTCATATTTTAGGCCCATATCAGTTTGGTCCGGGGTATTCATTGAAGGGAAAGGGAATCAACTGCCCTTATTCCCTTTAATATTGTTTTTTTCTCCAATTCAATCATTCCCTTTACCCCTTTGATTACCCAATTTTCTTCTACCCTGATTCTTTACCCCCTCCCCTAAGGGAATCACCCATTCCCTAAAGTCTTATTCACCCAACTACCATAACCAACCTTGACCACCACAACTGACCTTGACCACCACCTAACCTACAAAACCACTGCACCGGGCAACCCCACAGCCATCAGCACCATCACCCCGCCGTACAGGCGATGCCCTACTGATGCCGCCACCAACACACCCACCATACCAATGGCTACAACCCCTAAACTATCCCCACGATCCCCCCACCTAACTTTCTAGCCACTCTCCACTTCCACTACCCTCTAAGGACTCTAACCTCTCGAAAACCTCCCCCAACCACCATGAATCTTCACCACCACCGGAAAATACACTAAAACCACTACAAGAAAATTTTCTTTTCGTAGCAATTGTACATTCGCTACAATATCCACATATGTTTGTGAAATAGTAGAGGAATCTGTATCATTTCATTCCACTCTATTTACCTCGTGCGAACCAAACGACCCCTTAGTCTTCTTTGTTTGTTTTCTTATAAGAAAATATATCGAAGTATAAGAATGCAAAAAATCTAGAATGGAAGGGAGAAAATAGATGAGAGAAGAGGTAAGGGATGTAAGGACTGTAAAATGAAGTCTTATTCCCCAAAAAATTAGTCGGAGGCATGAACCAATAAACTATTTCTCTTGTGGTCTATCTTCTCTGTTTTGTTTGTTTTACATATGCTTAAAAGACGATATTTAAAATGTGGCATACCTAAGGAAAATATTTTCTACTTCTAGGAGAACTATTTCCCACCTTTATTTGGAAAAATTATATTCCATCCCATTAACAACCAAACCATGAAAAAATATGAGTATATCTGTAGGAATGTATTTTCCGTCAAAACAAACGAAGCCTAAATGACTAGATTAAACACATAGGTTGTGTTCTATTTACTTTATCACCTTAGTCACGCATCATATTAATTAAAATAAAGGAAAATCTATTTGATAGCCTTCAACTTTTAAAAATTTTATTGGTGGCAGAGCTAATTTTTTTCTCCTATAAAGTGACCTCTTAGTTTGGATTAATTCACATAGTGACCCTATAGGTTACTTTTGTGGATAATTCATTAATAAATCTAAATACTAACCCACTACTTAATTAACGGGACAACCCCCATGTTATCTCCTTGATAAACAAGGGATGTTAATCTAGTGGCATAATAGTAAATAAGTTGAAGATAAAAAGAGAAAAGTTAAGAAATAAATTGTAAAAACATGTTCGTTCTTTTTCCTCAATGAAACCCATTTCTTCTTGTTCTTCAATGAAACCCATCAACCATCACTCCTACCACGACACCACCACTACCATCTTCCTCCGTCATCCTGTCAAAGAAGGTACGATCGATCGATCTTCCTTTTCTTGTCCAAACTCATCTACCACTCCCACCACCACCATTTCTCTCATCATAAGCTACTTTAATGGAAAACATATTTGGGCGGCTTCACCGCCGAATTCTAAGAAAATCCTAAGAAAAAATATATAAATAAAGAGAATTGGTAACCTTATGTTTGTCGTTTAGTAGTGAGTTCTCTCTCCTTTATTGATTTCACCATTATTGATGCTTGTGCTTCCATGGAGAAATTACAATAGAGGTAGTAGTACCATTGTTACATAGTCAACATAGATTTTGCAAATATACCCCTTGATAAACAAATAAGGATTAACACCATACCATCACCAAGCCCCTCACCCTACCTAAGTGTCACGATCCGAGAGTTTTGACACCGGATCGTGCGGCGCGCACTTGTCTTCTAGCGACAAGGACGCAAGCCTAGGGCGGAGAAGGTTCGTGGGCACACAGCAAACACGGACCAAAGGTATCTCAAGGAAGGACTTGTCAACAACGGGTGCGGAGTCCGGGCTTGTGACGGTCGATATTTCGAAGCGGGCACAAGCAGGACCGACGATAAAGAAGGCGTCTTTTGAGGTTCTCTTGGTTTGGAGGGGATGCTTTAAAACAAGGCAAGCACAATATCTATAAAGGCTTAAATCAACACACAAGTCTTAAAGCAAGGCAACCAAAATAGGAGCTTTCATTCATTCAACCATTCGCCCCATAAAGAGCTTTATATTGATTATATGGAGAAATACTAGTGAACACTGAAACTACAGTAACACAATAATTTTCCCTAGAGCCTAGAAAGCAAAAAGAAAGACTTAGAAGACACTACATAAGGAAAATACAAGGAAAAAGGAAGGGGGATACATAGAGAAAGAGGCGGATTCTAACATCCTCTCCCACTTAAGCCGTCGACGACCTCGTCGACTTACAAAACAAAACATACAATTAAAGAAAGAGAAATAACAGCTTCACTCTTCCGTTGCTGGTGTGGCTCTTGTCCTGATTCTGATGTTGGTGCAGTTGCTGTCTTCTGGATCTGGATGATAGGGTTTGAGACGGCTGACGTGGAAGGTGGCTCGACCTTATAACAATTCTTCTCAATCCGTTTAATGATGCGGATGGGGCCTTCATATTTTCTGATCAGTCTGCGATCTCTTCCTCTAAGGAACTTGAGCTGTTCTGGGAGGACTTTCACCATCACCATGTCCCCTACACCAAACTCCAGCGGTTTTCTATTCTGGTCAGCCCACTTCTTCATTCTCTTCGATGCTCGCTCTAAGTATGCGCGAGCAATTTCCATGTTTTGCTGCCACTCTCGCTTAAACTCCTGTGCTTCGCGGATCCTCTCATCTTCAGATGTGGCTATGGTGTGAGGCAGGATAGGTTGTTGGCCCATCACCAATTCAAACGGGCTTCTGTTGGATGCAGTACTCTTTTGAGCGTTGAAGCAAAGTTGAGCAACATCAAGGAGCTTCACCCAATCCTTCTGATTGGCGCTAACGAAATGTCTCAAGTATTCCTCTAAGAGACCGTTGAATCTCTCTGTTTGGCCATCAGATTGAGGGTGGTGGCTTGAAGACATGTTTAAGTCCGACCCTATCAGCTGGAACAATTCTGTCCAAAATATGCTCGTGAATCTTGTATCTCGGTCGCTGACTATGCTTTGGGGAAACCCCCAATACTTCACGACGTGTTTGAAGAACAATGCCGCCGTCTCCTCCGCACCACAAGCCTTCTGCATGGGAACAAAGGTGGCATATTTTAAGAATCTGTCGATCACCACCATTACTGCGGAGTACTGGTCCACTTTGGGGAGACCACTGATGAAGTCCATAGATATGCTTTCCCATGGACGCGCGCGTCGGCACAGGAAGATGATCTAAGAGACCTCCAGGTTTCCGACGATCTACTTTGTCCTGTTGACAAACCAAGTAGGTCCGGGTGTAACTAATGACATCTTCTTTCATTCCCGGCCAATAGTACCCCAAAGAGAGTAAGCTTAAAGTCCTCTGCCAACCTGGATGTCCGG